ATAAACCAGTTCCCTCAGGTCTTGGCAAAACCTCTAAAAAGATTAATTTCAATTGTAAAGTCTAATAATAGCAGTGTAAGGTATGTAAAAAAAAAAAAGGGGGGGGGGAAATGGAGCTTGATGTGGCATAATGAGTTATAATTGTTTATGTAATATATATTAAAATATATTGGAAAACAAAGCCAAACACTTTTAAATTATGAAGTATGACGTTATCGGTAGGTTTACAGAAATGTTTAAATCTGTATATTACTGTTGTCCAAATGACATCACTCCTGGTCTGGTTACTTAAGGAGTGGCATGCAACTGTTAAATCTTAGTTCTTTTCATCAGATAGATTTGTAATGGTTCTTCACTTTTAGTTGTGGCATTACTTTGTAATAGCAGAACTCTTTGAGTCTTGTTCACTCTGCAAGTTTTATAGTCTGTGTCCCCTCAAAGATTGGACTCCTACAGATGGAGGTTGGTGTCAGAAATGACAATAACATGTTTTTGCTGCAAGCAATTTGTTTATTGCTTTTTCATAAATATTAACTTCAGCTCCAGGTGTGTGCTTCACTTGCAGTGGCAGCTAATGGCTTCTCCAGAGTGACCTCTTTGCATGAAGTCTCATTTACGAGGAATGGGACATTTCATGGCAGAGAAAGGAGAATAAACACGTAAGCGTAGGGACATGAGTCAATACATACAGCTTTCTAGGAAGCTTTCTCATTTTAATCATCATAGGTAATGTCCACTGTAGTCTCTGTGAGTTTGAATTTTCAGTTCCTTAGAAACTGACACAATTCTAAAGCCAGACAAGTGTTCATTCCTGTATGTAACTTGGTACTTATATGTGAGCATTTCTCTTAGTCTGGAACTTTTTTTGCAGGGTAAATTTTCTGCCAAGGAGCTGTTAGTTGGGAGTTTCTTGGCAGTGCAAATTTGTCTGCCATTAGGGCTGTACTGGTGGGGATATACTGATTCTTAATTACCTCATTTAAAGCTAGCTTGGGTATCTCTGTCCCACGCTGAAGTCTGTTGTGTAGATATCTCAAAATCACTGAAGTGTGTGAGAACTTTATTACTTTATCCATGTCCTCATTTGTGTAGCTGCTTCTGTTGATTTCACTACTTTACAGGGATTTGTATTCCATTACCGTAACTTTTCTGTTTACTGGACCTGCCATTATTTGCACATTTTTGATTGGTAATTACACTATGTTTTTTGGTAGAAGTACTATTGCAAAGTCATTTAACTTTTATGATTTTCATTTCTGACTTTGAAAATGCTGCTGTTCTAATTCTGGTTAGTAGTTGTCTGAATTCCTCAGTTTGAGACTGTAGCAGATTCCGTGACTATAGGTGAGCATATGTAACCACAAATATGCTTATCAGGTGAAATGTATCAAAAGTTGTATATAAACAAAACTCAGTTTTTTTTATGGGGATTATTTTGTAAATATACAGGAAATATTATTAGATTGTATTAAATTTAAATGTGGCTTACCATCGGTGAACTCACTCTTAGTTTTTAATTTTTTTAATGTGTAGCTTTGAGCTTTTGGGTAGTACTTGATTAATTCAGGCAATAAATTAATAAATTCAACATTCACTGAAGAAATGAATTTTTTTTTCCTTCCCATGTTTAGATCCTTGTTCCTTTGAATTATTAGTTCTGAATACCTTGATGATGTTTATTAAGTCATAGCTTACTAAACCAACATGCTAAACTTTGATATTGCTAATAGCAAAAGTCAGTTTCTGCCTGCAAGTCCACAGGTTTAGCAGTAAAATATAGTTTTTTATTTGATTATTTAATTGTTTAATTAAATTAATTAATTAAATTAATTAAAGAATTAAAATATAATAATAGTACTTGATAAGTAGTAGGACACAATCTCAGCTGAGAAACAAAAATATTTATAAATAACCCATATAAGTTTGGTTTGCTTGAGAGGCAAGGAGGAGAGATGGAGAGAAGAAAAAAAGTACCTAGGATGAACTGCAGTGTTCTCAGAAATCAACTGAGCATTTGGTCTTCTTAATGAAAAGATACATCTAAAGCTACTGACTTCAGTTTTCTAAGGTGACAGATCCTCGGTATAGTATTACTAGAGGGGTAACTGAGGAAACTGATGCTTTGGAGATCAAATAGAAAGAGGCTTTTCTTAGTCTTGAATAGGAGTTTGGGAGCCTGATGCAAACAGAAAGTATTACAACAGCTGTAAATCACAGCTTTGAAAGTAATGAAAAGGCAGCAGTGGTCTCGAAGGAATAGTGTTTCCATTTTTGGAAATGGGGCATGTAAAATAAAAGGTTGAATTTACCTTTGAATTATTAATAAAGATTTGTAAACTGGTGAAACAGTGAAGAAATTCTGAGTAAAGTCTTTTTGGAATATTTTTTTTTTTCAATGTCATTGGTTTTTTTAGATTCATGATTAAACATTTAATTGGATAATGCTGAGTTTGTTACCTGGCTGTAAATTTGCTGATAAGACTATTTGAGGTTAGAAGTCAACATACAGTCAAATACCAAAAAACTCTTAATTGCCACTAGTACAGAAGACTAAGGAAGATTTTAGACCAGGTTCCCTCTAATCAGCTGATATGCCCTAGTAGATTGCATGCCAGTGTGTGTTTTCCATTAAGCAAAAAAGCGATGACCTGATGTCTGCTATGTAATGTTTTATAGACACACATTATCTATCTATATATAACTGTATATATATAGCTGTAGATGTTATTGTCCAAACAATCAGTGCACAGAAAGAGATGGAAGATAATGTGCAACAGCGTAATACCCCCAAATGTACACGAAGTGCTGTCAAGCTAATATGGCGATCGAAATGCTAGGGACACCTATCTTATGAAGAAAGGCTGAGAGAGTTGGCTTGCTTTAGGTTGGAGAACACTCTGGGGAGACGTTGCTATGGCCTTCCAGTACTTGAGGGGAGCTTATAAGCAGGAGGGAGCCCAACTTTTTACCTGATCTGACAATGATAGGACAAAGGGGAATGACTTTAAACTAAAAGAGGACAGATTTAAGCCAGATGTTAGGAAGAGCGTAGTGAGGCACTGTCACAGGCTGCCCAGTGAGGTTGTGGATGCCCCATCCTTGGAGGCATTCAAGGCTGGGATGGATGGGATCTTGGACAGCCTGATCTAGTTGCTGGCAACCTTGCCCTTGGCAGGGAAGTTGAAATGAGATGGTCTTTAAGATCCCACCTAATCCATTCTATGATTCTGTGAAATGATAATAGCTTAATTTTTCTCCATCATTTAGCTATCAGAAGGGGAATGGTAATTTGTGGGCTATGAGGAGGAACTGAGCTTTCAAAACATAGTAACTTGACAATTAAAATCAATTGCAATATGCAGTAGTTAATTTTATATTAAATTGTAATTTACATTTTAAAAATTAAATTAGGTCAGATTAAACAATTCCATTAGAGGGCAGTAGTACCTGTAGGTATGAAATCTCATGTACTAAATATTTAGTTCACAGTCAGATTCCTTATTGCTATGATCTGTACTGTGTATAATTTTCACATTAGTAGTGAAGAGAAAAAATGATGCTACTGTAATTTAACATATTAAAATAGTGCAAAAGTGTTTTGCAATATACAATAATGCACATCCTGTCATATATTAAAAAAATAAATATTGCAGAAGCTATACAAAATAATTGTAATAGCTTTCTGCACTGTGATATTCCAGCTAAAAGACCAACTCTAACATAGTCTTTCTGCATTCAGAACTATACAATTTGTGTATTGTATAACTCCCATTTACTTCTTGAAAGCTTATGGCTTTTTTTTCATTTTCATCAAAACATCTTTCTTTTGAAACTCTCGTTTTTCTTCATATTTTGGGCTTTAATGCTTAAATTCATATACAGAATTTCTAGATTTCAAGGCAAGAATTTGCAAAATCATGCACACATATTCAGAAGCCTTTTAATGATGAAGCATCATTGGTAGTGTATAGTAAATCAGCAATGATTTCTGCAAAAAAGGTTTAGTTTTTGTAGAATTATATCTTCTGAGACATTTAATAACGAGATGTAAGCCTCAAAAACTTAGGTGTTTTTATTCCTACTCCAACACTGCACTTGGGCAAGAGGAATTGCAGGCATGCATACAGACTGGGAGGAGAATTCTTGAGAGTAGCCCTGCGGAGAAGGACCTGGGGGTCCTGATGGATGAAAAACTTAACATGAGCCAGCAGTGTGCTCTTGCAGCTCAGAAAGCAAATGGTATCCTAGGCTCCATCAGTAGAGGGGTGGCCAGCAGGGAAAAGGAGGTTTTTGTCCCTCTGTATTCTGCCATCATGAGACCTCATCTGGAGTACTGCGTCCTGGTCTGGGTCTCCCAGTACAAGAAAGACAGATTGTTAGAGAGGGTCCAGAGGAAGGCCACAGTAATGATCAGGGGGCTGGAGCACCTCCCCTATGCAGACAGGCTGAGGGAGCTGCGCTTGTTCAGCTTGGAGAAGAGAAGGCTGTGGGGTGACTTCACTGAAGCTTTCCAGTACCTTAATGGAGCCTACAGAGAGGAGGGGAGTCAACTCTTTACAGGGATAGATAAAGGCAGGACAAGGGGAAATGGTTTTAAGTTGAGGGAGGAAAGATTTAGGTTGGGTATCAGGGGGAAGTTCTTTACAGAGAGAGTGGTGAGGTGCTGGAACAGGCTGCCGAGAGAAGTTGTGGATGCCCCGTCCCTGGAGATGTTCAAGGCCAGGTTGGATGGGGCTCTGGGCAGACTCTAGTACTATTTAGTATGAGATATGGAGGTTGGTGGCCCTGCGCGCAGCAGGAGTGTTGAAGCTTGATGATTCTTGATGTCCCTTCCAACCCAAACCATTCTGTGATTCCATAATTTCATTGGTTTAAGAGTTCTAAGCAAATGTACTTGGCTGATATAACTAGTTCAGTTCACAGTAGTTTATACTTTACTGTCTTGTATATGTCTAGTCCAAGCAATACCACAAACATACCATTTCTTTTTCCATTTTCAGTTGTGCTGCTTGATACTACAGCTGTCCTTGGAGAATTAGGATGGAAAACATTTCCTTTAAATGGGGTAAGTCAGTCACCATTTTGGTTTTATTGTCTTGAATTTGGAATTCTGACACTACTGAAGTGAATGGCCATTATACTTGAGTGGATGTTCTTGCAGTATGGACTTGTTGGAAAGATTTTGGTTATTCTCAGGACTAGACCAGCCTGTGGTGTAAAAGGGAATAACAGATGTAATAATGATCTGAGTGCACATTATTATGCCCTTCTGTGGCTTTTCTGCTTAAGAGTCCATCACATTCTAAAATCTCATTCTAAGTGTTACGCATCCTGAAGTTACATATTAAAAATTCTTATATTTGTGGCTATGTTTATGAATGCATTATTTTTGTAAATTAGAAGGAAATTCAAGTTTTGACTTTACAACATGAATAAAATAAGGATCTAGTAAAATGGCATCAGGTTTGCTAAATCAGGAGAACATTAAAAATATGATAATGCCATTAAACCAGTATAAACATTTTGAAAAAAATATTTCACTCGGGCTTGTTGCTCAGTGAACTGTTCCAGATTAAAGTTCACTATTCATGTTTAAAGTTACAGACTTACAGTATTATAAGTACAAATTGGACAGGCACTTGACATTCTGTTCAAGGCTGTAGAGTGTTGCAGGTATATGATATATTTGGAGGTGGTGTGGCCAGCTGAAGTTAGGACAGAGGTGTATTTTTGTTGTTTGAAGGACAGCTGTCAGTTCTTTGACAATGGCTACATTTCAGATGCTGTGTTCTCTTTCTACCTAGTTGATGCACTTGACAGAACTTAAGAGATATCTGTATTATAACTGTTGAACTAAGATATAGTGTCCTGGAGCATTTAACTGTTATCACACTGGCTTCTAGTCCTGATATCATTGTATGTGTTGTCAACAATCAACGCTTTTGGTTGTGTATCACATGCTTTTATATTAGCTGGCATTGTCTTATTTCTTGTGTATGGCACAGATTTTCTGGATTTTCTGAAGTTAGCTCAGAAAGTATTATTTTTCTGAGTGAAAAATCTTGTTCCACTTTAATATATATATATTTTTTGTGATTAATTCCTGAAGGAAGAAGAAATTGTCTATCCTTAATAATTCATATTTGTAAAATGCCTTCTGTGTCTCTGCCCTCAGGGATTTCAAGCAATGTGACATTTCTTAATCTCAGGCTATTTTAAACTTCATGGATAACTTTTTTTTTCATTTTTTTTTTCAGCCTGTTGTATTTCCAGACATCCTTTTATTCTGCTATAGATACTTCCATGGGTCTCATTTTGTGTTCAGTCTCATGTACTCTGATATAATTCTGCAAATTTTTTTTCTTCAGAAAACCTAGATGAAGCAAATGATCTCGTATATTAAATTTATCCCTGTATTTTCACATTATTACTTTCTCTAGCAAAAAGCAAATACTGCAATATACTGTTTTGAGAAAATACAGCAAAAAATTATTGTTCTAGTTTTGTGATGAATTTCATTCAATTAAACAGGGAGGTTGGCATTTGGAAATTAGATTAGATATAATTTAGATATTCTGTAAATTCTGAAAAGCTTTAGTTAATCTGATAACAGTAGCCACAATATACAAGTGTAAAAATGCACTTAAAGTTGATATAAAATGTAGCTATTATAAAATATGTGCTTTGGTTGGTCAGTCCTACCCTTGACATTCATTTTGCAGCATATTGATGCAACAGGCTGACTTTGCCATGTTTTAAGAGTAAGAAGCATTCATTGGCATAGAGAGAGTTTACCTTTAAAGCAGTGCTTGGAGTTTTATTAGAGAATTTACCAATAAGTAAATTGTGTTCTGTTGTTGTATTTTAATTGTTAGTGTAAGAATGTGGGAGTAAAGAGGTTCTTAGAATAAGGAAAACAGGACATATAAAAAATAAGCAATAAGGCTTACTGTGACATTTAAGAGACTGGAGTGATAATGCAAGATAGAAAGGTAGTAACTGTGAGCATGGGAAACAAAGCCTTGACTGTGCAGGAATGAATATAAGCTGTAAACTGGATAAAGGTTCCTGAGCACTTCAGCAAAGAAGCTTTGCAACACCTTTGAGGTTTGTACAGGTAAAAAGAATGCATGATTTGGAGAAGCAGCATGATCAGTTTAGGAAGGAGAATGAGACACTGGTTACATACAGCAGTACTTGATTGAAGAAAAAAAGGGTCTTCTGTTTCTCACAGTGCATTGAAAGAAAATGTCTTAGTTCAGTGTATTGGTCCTGTAAAGTTTGTTGTGAGCACCAAGACCTAGTGGCAATGCTGGACATTTGAAACAGTGCAGGAAAAAGGAACAAACAACAAAGCAAAATAAGTAGTGGAGATGAACAACACAGCAAATGAGAGTTCTTTCAAAAAGATAAGCAGAAGTGCTGATCAAAATCAATGTTTTCCCATTATTCTGAGTTAGTCTTATTCTGACAAACTTCATTAAAATATAGCAAATGAACGTGTTTTTGACAATCGATCATACTGAAAAACTGCATAGAACTATTAAAGTATGGAACAACGCATTACTTATGCTTATAAAATATTAAAGATACTGAAGATGAAAACTAAACTGGAATGTATTTCTGTAGTATTTTCATTTAAATTATTCTGAGAAAATGTACACTGAGACACGTCTTCTGCCTGTTCAGCATGCTCAGCCTTGTGGCACCAGCACCTAGAGAGGTGGTGGGCAGGTTCTCCACTCTGCCTCCAGTGAGCACAATTAGTGCTTCTCACTTCTGCCCTGCGCAGCCATGACTGTGAGGAGAAACGTTACATCCTGCTTCTCTTCACAACAGGCTGCTGCACAGGGCCTTCTCTCTCCTTTCTCTCTGCATCCTGACTTCTTCCTGCAGATGGAGGGTCATCATCTGCCACCATCTGAGTCCTGTACATGCAGCTTTGTGCGAGACCCCACCTCTTCCACTGTCAGTGGAGATTTCTTCCAGGGTCAGCATCTCACAAGCTAATCACACAGCTCCTCAAACTTGCACAGCTCCCAGGTGAGGGTAGCTGGCTTCTGCACCAGGTGCTGGAAGAGTTTGATGGGTCCAGCTGTTCAGAGAATGGCAACAAGACCATGTCCTCAGGGACCCTCTCACATCCTAAGAGAAAGGTGTTGAGACATTTCTTCTCCAGGCAGCAGAAGAGGTTGCTGCTGAGATCTCAAAAGATCGTCCAGTCACAGGAGCAATCCCTCTTGCAACAGGTGGCAAATCACAACTGTCTTCAAGCACTGGGAGGAAAAGCCTGTACTCACCAGAAGGTGGGTGCAGGTCCAGAGACAGTTGAGGCCGAAGTTAGGCTGCTGGGCATTCCTGGCCACATGCCTCAGCAGTTTTCTGGCCACACCATGATGCTGATGTAGCTGGCTTCAATCTATTCAATATTCAAGAAAGTGCCCAAGTAATTGTGCTGCACTCCAAGCATCATCTTGATGGACAAGGTGCTATCAAATATATTTCTGCATACCAGAAACAAGAAGCAGCTATGGAAAAGTGCCAAAGTGATAAGTAGCAGCATGAAAAAAAAAAAGCCATATTTAAAGCAAAACTATTCATAGATGTTAATTTGCTTACAAACACAAAAAAGACAACTGTTACAAGAGGAGCACTGGTATTATTAAATCTCAGTGCTGCTTTCTAGCAAATATTTTGTTTTCCTAATGCATCAAAGGAAGCCAAAGAGCAGGAAAAGGACTCTAGTAAAGGCCCAGAGCTGACAGTACAGCAGGGTAGCAAGCAGCAGGTCTCCCTTGACTGCCCAGCTCTGCCTCTGGCTTCCCTGCTCCGTGCTGTCCAATAGCTGAGCCATGAACACGCTCAGCTGCTCAGTGCAGCTGAATGTGCTCATGCAGATTGCCATGCACCAGGTGAATTCCCAAAGGGATGATTCCTATCAACACTGGTGTGATGAAGACCACCTGAGCCATAGCCACTAGCAGGTGTGTACTGCACTCACTGAAGGCCTAGGCCAAAGTGCCACAGCACTGCCTCTATTACAGCTTCCTGACATGATCCCAGTGTGAGTGTTCTGCCGCTGTCACAGACATGGCCACATCACTGCACCGCTCTGTCTACAGTCTCCTGCTTCATCCCTGTAAGAGATTATTCTTTTACGTGGTCTCAAAGCTTGCTGGGGACTCAGATGGACAAGTCCAAGCAAGTCCTGGGGAAGGGTTGAGAAATCCTTTGTCTGAGGGACACAGATGGACAAGGACAGGGGCAAGGAGAGAGAGAGAAGCTGCAGCTTAATGGCCATGAGGCAGTCAACAACCAAGAAGGGAGGTTTTCTGGAACCAGATTCCTCATGAAGAAGAGGTTTCTGTCACGAGAAGCCTCACGACCTGCCTCTCTCCCTCCTGGACTTGCTCTGTACTCTACCACAATGCTGAAGAAGAACAAAGGTGTCTGCCATCAGATTCCTTACTAAGGAATTCCTGCATGCTGACGGACTCTCCTAGTCCTGCTGCTTCCTCCTGGATTGGCTCTGCGACTTCTTCCTACTAAAAGCTGGAAGAAGCTGGCCACGGTGCTGCTGCTACTGCTTCCTCCCCCCCGAGGCTGCTTTTGCCTCAGACCTTAAACGTTGTGCAACGGGACGCTGCTGGATCCTGGTGCTGACTATCCCTGCTTTACATGATTCTTGCTTCTTTCCTATGTTTTCTATCACCCTCCTTCCCTTCCCTGTCTCCCTGATTAGGATTTGTAATAAACTGGTTGGACCAACATTTGAACCGTGGTTTCTTAATCTCACGCCGGGTATGTTATATTAAAAGAACCTCCTTTCCCTCCTATGAATTGGAGCGAGACATTATCTTATCTCCTCTCCTATCCTCTCTTACCTTATTCTCTTTTCTCCTTTCCTTGATCAATTAGTATCAGAACTCTTTCACCAGTCTTCTCAAGGCTGTGGTCACCTGGTGACAAATCATATGTTTTTGGCCAGAAGTACTGAATAGGCCAACTAGGAGATGAGCCCTCAGGCATCTTTTGTTTGAGAATCAGCAAGACGTTGTACAACAA